GGGTTTTTTTTTTAAAACATAATTCCTAAATTCCAGAATTGGCTAGCTTTCATTATTTTGCTCTTCTGATAATACTAACACTTTGCTTATTGATATGTTATCTGGCTTTTTCACTGTATATTCATTATACAGTAGCCATTAAAATGGCTATTTCCTAGAAACCAGATATTCTTTGTTGTGACCTCTCCAAATACCACAGATGTTCTGCAATAGTGCTCCCCCTCAAAAAACCAAAAAAACCCAACAACCTACATCCCATGTGTATAATCTTAGATTTTTTTTAACAAAAACATGGAGAGAGATTGCTTATGCTACTTCCTTTTAAAAGGTGTGATGTTCATACCTTAAAGACTTAAATTATTAAATTATAAGATTTATATATATAGAGTCTTAACATTCCCTTTTGAACCAGTACTGTTGATCTGAGTGTTTTCTTCAGAAGTAGCATATTGAGAATGTCCTGAATATGGGCTCTGACCTTCCTGGCTGCTGGGGTTGGACCATGGAGAGTGCAGGCTTCTGTCCTTTGGGCAAGTAGCCCTCTGCTCCCCATCTCAAGTTATGCTTTGCTGTAGTTGAGCTTCCATCTGCCATAGCTGGTTCTTAGGCTGAGGTGGCTGAGGCTAGACAAGACTTAATCCATGACAAGGCTGATTTCTTCCTGCTTGAGCCTAGAAACCTTTTCATCATATACTGTTGGACCCTTAGGAGGAGAAATTAATTAATCTCTTCTTTAGAAGGATATGATACCTGGAAGCAAAGTGAAGGATGGCAGCAGCAGAACAGGAAGAATGGAAAACATGTATCTCCAGGGAAGCAAATGAATGATAGGGGGCTGGCAGTTATTCCTGGAAGATTATTATCTTTAGTTGCCCTGCAGTACATCAACTAACTAATGAAATGCCAACAGCCATATCCTGTAGATAGTGGGCTGAAGATGACATCTGCAAGAATCCATCAGTGTTACTGTCTAAGGTCCTTACCTTTGTTTCAGTTCCATTCAGTATCTGTTGTATCTTCACTTTTCATTTTCTGTCCCACTTTCATGTCACTTGCAACCTAGCTAATTGCCTGTCCCTCTATTTCTCAGCCAAGTTTAATTCAGATTCTGAACTAAGAACAAATGGTAACTCTGATATTGATCTCAGTTGCCTCATGACTAGATCAGTCTCAAGAGTTAGAAATTATATAATATGGCATTATACTTGAAATGGAAAAATCCAAGCTGAAACTACTCAAGCTTAAGTTACTAAATGAAACATGAACATAAAATCCTTTGTGCAGTTTCCATGTGTGTTGATAAAAGTTTGGAGCATGAGTGTGCTTGCTGTCTCTGGGGCTTTCACCAATCACAGTTGGTACATAGCTGTGCTTTCGTACTAATCCAATGTCGTCTAGAATTATGATGTACAAGTGGGAGTCCCACCTGCTTTGGGGGCAAAATAGTTTGTTTTGCAGTGGTGGTGATTTTTCACTATCTCAAGATGCGCACACGTGCTGACAATACTCCTTAAAAGAGACTCTAGGATGATATTAAGATCACTTGATAAAAACAGGAAGAAATAGGTTTTTATGATAATCAGGAACTAACAGATCACGTGTCATACAGTCTAGGGTAGGTTGAGAAGCAAATCTAGAACAACAGAAATTTTGGGAGAAAGTATTCTGTCGTTGTGACAAATACCAACAGATAGTAGGTAAAGCTGTTAATATCACTTTGTCATGTTAAGAGAAACTGCCATGTTAAAAGGAACTGCCACGTTGAAGTTTTCCTGCCAACAGTTTTTCTTTTTGACTTCTGTCAAGCTGCCCTAATGAAAAACTAGTGCTAAAGAATATTACTACCAAATTTAAGTTGCTCACATTAAAATTTAACTTTGATTAACAAAAGCTCATCAGAAGCTGGAATTTGCTAGAAAGTAATCTGAACTTTATGCAAATATGAAATGTGACTGAAAAGTTAAACAATTTTGTAGATCACAGTAATATTTTGTACTTGAATGAAAATAAATATATGTATTGATGAGAAATACCTATCTCTTCTCACAGTTTTAAAGAATGTTGAATAACTTAGAGATCATAATCTGACAGAGAAAACTACTTTTTATAAAATGAGTGTTTTGGTTCATTTGAAATATGTAAACTTTTAGCTGTCTACTTATTATTTAACCTCTAAATTAGATTATTTTGGTAAGAATTAAAAAATACTTTAATGCTGTAGTGTCTGACTCCTGCATGTTTTCCTGTGGTTTGCTACTGCACCTGCATGATTTATTTAAAAAAAAAAACAAACCTAAATGCCAAGACCAACTTAGCTTATTTAAAAAAAAAGTAGAGTATATCTTTGCTGTTGCTTATAGCTGCTGCTCATCTCTGAAGAAGACTCTGATACCTTGTCGTAAAATTTCTCCTATCATCCTTCCAATTTACCCACTGTAGACAGACTTTGTAACTTACAGAACATGGGCTTATTTAGGTAGCTAGAAATATCTGGTTTCTGTTGCAGCCAGTTAAAAGGATCAGCTTCTGACCTCTACTGTTTTGAATGTTGCAAGAGGAAGTTACAGCATGACTTTTCTTTGAAAGTATGTTTGTAGAAAATGACATCGCAGGGTTCCTTTTTTGTGCTATATGCATTTTTCTGAATTGTCAGCTGTACCAAATCTGTAAGTTCTGAAAGGAAAACTGAAACATATAATAATGAGAATCTTGCAAGCCAGGCTTATGCCCTACGTGCAGCTCCAACTGACTGGAGCTAGTCAGTTCTTCCAGAGCAACTGTACATGTCAAATTACTCTGTGATATCTGTATTAACTTCATAGTGTTATTTATGGAATAAAAAGTAACAGTAAAAACACTTGAATATAATGGAAGTGTATTAACTCCCAATATGGTATACTTTACATGGTATACGCTAACAGCTTTCAGCTATTTGTGCAGTGCCAAACTTAAGCTAGTAAATGTTAATGCTTCTGCTTTTATTTTATACTGACTTAACTTGGGAATGCCTGTTTCATGTCCTTTTGCGTGCATCCAGTTTGAATGTAAGCTCAGCTATTTATTACACTTTCATTTTAAAAGGGCTGTGGCATCTTCTATTTATGGTAAAACCTGGCTTTACTCTTGCTTTTTGATACGTACGGTTACGTAGTAACTTGGAGTCCATAGAAGAACACGCTTTAATGGAAAAGTCAGGGTTTCAGACAGAGGGAAAGGACTTAAACAAGCATTTCCCACATATATTTTTGCTACCACAAGAGATCAGGTCATTCTCATTGTCTGGAATCTTAGTTTCTGACAGCAATGAAGCTTTTTCCATATACAGATGTAACCAGCATTAGTTTTGGTGTGCAGGTTACATTGCTTCTGTTTTGGTTTCTCCAATACCAAAAGTCATCCTTGTAAAGAGAGATGATGGGTTTGTGGAGTTTTTTTAACCTACTTAGGACAGGAACAATTAGTAATGTTAATATTAATCATTTTTTTGTGAGTTTGAGCCATAGGTTGCCTTGGAAACTAGGTTCAATATGGAATTATGCATTAAAGGATCTTGTGCTTCCATGTTGCAGATTCTGTGAATTAATAGTGACTATGACCAAGTTATTTTTCAAGTAATATTGTAATGCATACCTTGCAGCAAGAAAAGCAAAGTCTGAAATTAGAGAAATTGCTTTGAGATTGCCAACACTGACAGTGCTCAAGGTTGTTCTCTTCATGCAGCAAAAGGGTTTGGAAGGTAGAATATTGTCCCTGCCCCTAACATCCTGTTACATGTTCTGTCCTGGTGTTGATATTTCAGAGGGATGTTTTAAAAGAACCTCTCCATTAAAGCTTTTTGTCTTGTATTTTGAAGAACAGTTGACACCTTTAATTCTAAAAGGTATTTCAGTTCTGTTTGCAGATGACTTTGAACTTGCCTATTGTTGAAATTAACTGTTTGCTTTCCTCAAGTGTAAATAAAATGTCAGCAAAATGACCTACAGGTACAAAAAACAGATACTCCCATTATATTTGTATTTCTGTAATATATTGGTTGTATGTGACTTACAGTCAAGGTAAAGATTTATATAAAATGAAGATGCTTCTGTCCTAAAGCTGGTGGCTGCTTCAGAAATTACTCAGCTGTAAGGAAAAAAACCCCAATGCTTTTCAACTTACTAGTAGTGAACTGAAGATATGGGCTGCCTTCTCCATCAAGGGTGGTTATTTATCTCAGATCTGCCAAGTTTGGTTCAGTCACGTTAGGATTCCTGTTAGAGACCAGCTGAAACTTAGTATTGCAGGCATTCAAGTGCAGATGACACCTTCTTAAGCATCTTGAAAGCTGCATTTGGTAAATCAGGGAAGTCTCATTCCTCTTCATCTCTGGCTTTACTTGCCAATTTTTATCTGTACCTCTCATAGTATTGGTGCTAGGGGACATACCTCTTCACTTAATGCTCTCTGGAACTCCTATATGATAAATACCACAATATTTTGTATGTTACAGCTTTTTTTTAGGGGAGAAAAAAAGCTTGTCACATATAGTGTTTCCCAGTGTATGTCCTACAATGCAAGGAAAGAACATGTTTTGTTTATTTTGTCACTTGGAGAAAAAGAAAAATTCCTTGTTACTAAATGAAAACTTTACATTAGTGAAAATAATGTATACTAACATATGTTCCATATATTGATAGTATTCTGTAGGGATGCTTTGCTAAATTGCACATGCAACCTCATGTACACTGGATGTGAATACCCTTGTGGAGCTTTGTTAATTCTTCATGTTCCTCCATAGAATCCTGCCTGTACTATGGTTGGTATTGAGAGGGTCAGTTTGGTCTGAGCTACTGACACTCCTAGGTATCTGCTGTAACCTCAACCAGATGAAAAGTGCTGGGTGGTGTTTGTGAATAGCTTCTGTTCATGACAAAAATACTCAGACAGCTAAAATAAGATTTTTTAATATAGTGTAGCTGTGAATAATTTGAATAATACTCTTTTTTTTTTAACCAAAACAGAAAGAAGAAGGAAAAATTCAAGGGCAGCTTAATAAATCTGATTCGAACCAGTATATCAGAGAACTGAAAGATCAGATAGCTGAACTGCATCATGAGGTAAGTGATAAAATACTACTGTCTCTGATCACTTGCACCTTTTGTCCCATCTTTCATTTATAGAAGGTTTTGCTTATAATAGTTATTACAGCTTCAGTGCCTGATTTTGACAACATACATTATTTTAAATGAATGCAATAAAACTAACTTTTCTACATGAATCTTGCCTTTAGCCTGGTATGTAAGAGAACAAAAAATTGCGTAGTTACATGACATTAAATAAGCTCAGCATTTATGTTGTGTCTTTTTTTTTTCCTTAATTTCGTGAGTTGATCATGTTTCACTGTGGTGCATTTGCTGCATGTGGAGCTGTGTGCATGAAAATAAGCCCCTTTATGTCTTATGCTACAACTTTTAAGGCTAATTGAGTTAGAAACTAAACTGCACTTGTGCAAGTAGAAGAATCCATGTGTGGATTTTACTGGTTCTTGCTGTTGTGAGAATGGATTTTATGTGGTAGTATACTGAGATTACTTAAAAAGAAAAAGGATGCTTGCTTAATATCAGTTAACAGATTTTTAAGTTTTAAACTGCCAAAACTTTCAAGCTATGAAATTTCTGTCTTCAAACTTCCTTGCTCTAATAGTTGTAGTAACTTTCTGTTAGTTAAAAAGATCAGAAGGTCCTGAAACCAAAATGGCTTATGTAACTACTGTGCTCACTGGCTCATTTCAGTTAATCCTACAGTGTGAAGAAATGTCTTTACCTAATACTACACTGTGTGCAAAGTGCCCCGTCATCTTTTGCATTGTAGTCTGCTTCTGTTTCTGTACACCTTCTAATACACAGCTCTAATAGTGTTGCTTAAAACCATAGTATCATAGAGCAGTACAACATAATTATTGGTTGGCTTTTTGCTTTTGTTAAATAAAAACATCCGTCCTTTATTTAAGTGTAGGTAGTGTTTTCATAAAAACCTTGGTGGTTCAACCTTTTAGGACCAATCCCTTGAGAGTTATAACATAGTGGTGGATCTTGGAATGCTGTCTATGCTAGAGATTGAGGATCTCTAGGGCCATTAGTCCTGCACCTTCACCAATCATTGAGCTCACTTAAAAATACTTAAAAATCAATAACCTGGTGTTTTCCATTAAAGGACTATAGCTTGCTTTGTTTCTTGTAAAGTAAGTTGCTTGTAGAATTCCCAGAAAGCCAGATATTTTGCATATTTTGTATTATGAATAACTAAGGCATTGTACTAACTTTTTCCTCTGCTCCGTGTAGGTTTAAAAGGTAAGAAACTGCTGTTTTGAAGGAAAAGTAGAGTTGCTGTTGGAAAGCTGTTGCATAACTTTCTCTATACAAGCATTTGTCATATGCCTGTCTTAGCAACTCAATTAAAGGCATACAATTGTGTACATGTTTAATGTATATAAGTTTATGTGAACAGGTTGAAGGTGAGCTTTGCTAGCTCACAGAACAAGGATAGTTCTGAATAATACCAGCGATTCTGAAACAGTTAAGTCTAGATGAATCTTTACTAGCATTTCAATTTGATTGAAAGAAAATATCAGCTAATGAGAATATGAATTTCAACAATAGCAGAGTTTGAGTAATTCCGTGTAGCAGAACACTCCTCTTCCAGGTGTGTGCTTTGTTGTGGCTTAATTTTTAATTGCCAAACTAGGTAAACACTATAGGAACGAAGTATCTCATTCTAGGATAGATAAAAACAGTAGGAAGAAACTGGATGTAGTACACACATTCTACCTTGGCAGCATTTCTGAATGCTTCCTTACAGAGTTTCTTAAAGCCTGGAAGTCCTTGTTTACTAATGACTTTTTTCCCCCCTTTACTGTTACATATCTGTTTGTCTAGTTTTTATTTTAAAAACTTTGGAGTGAAAGTAATACTTCATGCACAATCCTTTATTTTGAGCGTAACCCACTAGGCTGATTTAGAGATAATGTAAGGTTAAGTCTGAAATGTACTAGTATTTATAGGTAAGTTGATGCTAATCAGTAATAATTAAGTCTTGGATTAACATAGCCGCTAAGTAAAGAACTTTGCTTGCAGTGTTTGCTGAAACAGCAAAATCTGAATAAAATGGCTAAAGAGGTGGCAAAAATGTTTGCCCTCAACTGCTAAATGTTACGATTAGTATAATTTAGTCAATACCAACTAAATAAACCATCTTTTTTACATCTGCACTGAAGTGTCTTCATGTGTAGATCCATTAATGACCAATGCTTTTTGGGTAGCTGCCTTTTTATTCTACTTCTGCAAAAGCGAAAAGAAACGTTACAAATTTGCAAATTCATCTTCCTGAAGATAGGGCAATGGTGTATGTGACATGCTGACCACAACCTCCCAACTGGTTAACATATAAAAGGCACTGGTAAAGGAACAGAGTTCTTGGTGACTGCATGGTTACCATCTAATATATTGTAATTGCGGAACTTTAAACTGGACATAAATTAATGGGAAAGTTATAGTTTAAGGTAGGGATGGGATGAGGGAGTGTGAAACAAGATAAAATGTCTTGGCATGACCATCAGTGTTGATTCCGCTCATGGAACCTTTCTTCCTCTCCAGTACTGCATTTTTACAGAAGCTTACATCAGAAGAATTGCAAGTTCTCCTTCTGAAGGATGGAACAAAATAATGAACAGATCCTATATTGAATATAAGTAACTGAAAGCTAAGTCCATATTCTGGCCTTCTCATAAACACTATTTCATGTCTGTGGCCAGCGATTTGAATGCATGTGTTCCTGTATTGGTGGCACCTGGAGGAGCTAGGTACTTTAATTCTATCCTGTGATATGATCCATCAGACTGATAGTACCAAGTTGTGGCAACAGCACGATGCATCCTAATCAGAGTTCCAGTGAAAGGTCTACTGTTCCATCAGTGTTTGCAAGCCAGGCTAATAGCCAGGGACAGGGCAAACCTAGAACACCAGTGAGGAACACAGATAAGGAACACCTGAGAAGAACAAAGAGGGGGTCGCTGTTACTGCCAGGGTCTAAAGCTGATTAATTCCACTAAAAGGTGGGGGTGGCAGGGTTTACTACAGCATGGGTGCAACAGGCTGCTGCTGTAGCACCTCCTGACGTTGTAGTGGAAGAGAGATTGACCCTCAAACTTCAGATATTTCTCTCATATGTTCCAGTGTGGTAACCTAAATCAGCTACATATCAGAACTCTGCATATAATTTCAGATTATTAATGTTATTTTTTTTAAGTTTTGTTTATACTTTTTAAAACTTCCAACCGATTGCCCTTTGTAATCTGGGTCCAGATTGATTAATTTTGGTCTTCCTTTTCTGAGCTCAAAATTTTACATGCATCTTAAATATCGTGCAGCTAGCAGCCTAAAGGCTAAATTTCTTCTGTTTTTATTACTGCTCTGGGAATAGTAATGCTACAGTCTGTCTTCAAATCATATTATAAGACTTATTCATAGTAAACTCAAGTCATTGTATTTCTGTTACTGAGTAAAACTGCACATACTGGAAATTGGTAGTATGGCAACCAAAACCAATTATGCACATTGCTATTAAATATAGAAGGTAAATTACATGGAAAAAGATTGTATCTTTTTTGTTACCTTTTGAAATAAGGTAAAATAACTACAAGTGGAACTACTATATTGGATTTTTGGTTTGTTCTAACAAGATACCTGCCTGATTCCTCTTACACCTAACCAGTGGATTTCTGCAGTATGGTGAGCTGAATTGTATATTGACCTACTTCACAGTAGGGTCTTAAATTTGTATTTGATGAACTTCAGGAGAGCAAACAGACAAGAGCTGAAGCTTTGAGAACATTGTAACAAGGTGTTGTAGACTTCTGCTTTATGCACACCATCTCAGATCTACTCACATGCAGCTCTTCCTTTGCACTAACTTGAGTAACCAAATACAGGATTGAATCAAAATATTTAATGTAATTTACATGACTATGTACAATGCTGAATTCCTATTTAAATTCCTCAGTGCAGCCATAATTTCACTCGGAGTTCGCATACATGTAAATCATTATTAACGTGCAATTTTAACTTTAGTAAGTATGTCAGTCATTTTTATATTAATTCCTTAGAAAGTTACTATCCTTTAATGTTTTACATAACCTATCAACATTCGAAGAACAGCTGGTGCATAATGAAAGGACACTCAGACTGCAGTATTTCTAGTTAGCTGATAGCTAATCCTATGAAAAGTTGCTTATATTTAGTTTCAGATTAGTGCTGCACTTCCTTTCTTCCTTATTGGCAGAGTTGCTTTATTGGGGACAAAGTTGCTAGATGCTTACACCTAATGGCTTTATTGTTGAAGACTGAAACTAGTGTGAAAACCTGAAATTTTGAGGATTGTCACCTAGCATTTTCTTTCTTCCTCCATTTTCCTTCCATTCTTAAAGCTATCTCTACAGCGTTCTTGACTTCTAGCTTAGTAGGATTTTAACCTAAAATATTTTTCCATTGTGGAGCCCCCACAGCCTGCAGCTTCTGTGAAGCAGCTTTGTTACTCTTGTCAGTAAGTACACAAGCTTGGTTGCCCTGTCCTTGGCACAAGAGAAATGAGGTCTGGTGAGTACTGAACTGTCACTTGACCTTACAGTTAATGTGTTTTAACTCATGTAACATAAATGGCATGACTATACAGGCACTGCAAGATTTGTACCGTGGCTTACATAAGCTCAGTCTGCATAAGGAGTGCTAGTACTTAGTTGCCTTCGATTAGACACTGAAATTTTAAGTGAAAGCAACTTTTGTTCAACGTTTTTACTATTCAAGAGAGTATCCCACTTCAGGAGGTAGTACTGAAGTAAAGCAGTTATGTATGTGGAAAAGAATATGTAGAAAGCTTGGACTGTTACGAGTTTCCGTTAAGTAAAGTTGAAGGTTTAAGAAAAACTGACTAAGATAAATTTTGAACTAGTTGTTACTCATTTCAATGTAAATCACATACTGGGGAAGAAAGGAAGAGGTTCTTTGTAGTTTGCCACTCTTTACTTTTAATTCAGACTGAATGGAATTAAATGATTTATAAACTG